ATGTTGGACAGCCAAACATGTCCTGTTAGACTGTCCTCACATGGAGGAGATAATGATTGCTGTACAATGCTCTCATCCCCTGAAAGTTCGGGTATTTCGTCAGATACCTCTAAAAGGCATGTGCATGGCGAAATGCCCCTATGACAGTAGTGAAACTTTGCCAAATACCCCACTCGCCAATTGGACCTGTCATCTTTCGCATCTACCCCTATTGGGCCCTCGGCAACTTGTCTATATGCCCTGGTATTTTAGGCCTGTTGGACCCTCCAGATGGCAAAAGAAATGCACGGCCCCCTGCAGCCCAGGGCGAAGTTGCCAATGAGTGGGAAGGGGGCAGACGCAGACGTTTGGTGCATTTCAGCGTACCCCAGGGCCTGTGTTTCAGACCTATCTAAGAAAATACCCAAACTTTTAGGGGCATTTCAATAATATTCCCAAAAGTATAATTAAAACAAAAAAGAAGGCTTTGCGGCCAGTGGCCTAGCTGAACTGGTTAGGCACGCAAGTGGCATTCAGGACATCATGGTTTCAATTCCCAGCGACTGCCTGGGATACACTTCGTGCCAATCAACACACACACACACACACACTTTTCTCTGGGGTATGGTTAACTCTGGGCGATGTGGTGAGTGCTTATCCATCAGTCAAATGCATCCTGGGCAGCCTGTCGGGGTTCATGTGTGGGTTGTGTTTGGTGTGTGGGAGAGTGCTGGCCATCTGCTGTTACTCTATGGGGGTGGGAGGAAGTAGAAGGGAGGTGCAGCTCCTGGTGAAATGGTCTGTGTTTGGGTTAGCCCATCCCCCCCAACCAGTGGCCCCACCCTACTACCTGACCACCACAGATTAGGGCAGGGGGCAACATGCAGCCCCTTGATTGTGAGAGGTAGAATGCTTCCAGGGGATCCCTGTATAGGCTTAGGAGAAGTGGTAGGTAGGTAGTGAAAGATGAAACTGAGAGAAGAAGGGACCCATGTAGCTTAGTTTTACAAGCCAAAAAAAGAAGAAAAAAGCTGCCCTGCATGGAAACCTCAATGGAGAAAGCCATTTCCCACCAAAACCAGCAGGTGCCGCTCCCCACCAATAGATGGAGCAGCCCGATTATAAAAAAAAAAAAATCAAAACTTGCTAGAAAATAAAAATAAAAAATCTGGAAAGTGAAAACTTGTATACCGCGGGTCTCTCTCTGCTACTCCAGACTCTCAAAAAATTGAGAGTTTGGGTCTCGCTCCACTACTCTAGACTCTTGAAGATTTTCGAGAGTGAGTCTAGAGCTGCCAGACTCTAGAAATGACTGAAAAAGAGAACATCGCTCTGCTTACTCTAGAAGGTCAAACTCAAGAAGGCCTCTCGGATGTCAGACCGCTCTTTGAGAGAGCTACACGACACGGCCAGCACGTTGTTGTCTGCCCAGACTCGAGGTGCACTTCATAAAAATGCTCAACTTTCGAAGGTCCTGGATGCCTCCCTTGAAATTCCCGCCGCTGCAGGCGGGAGTTCTTGAATGGTCAAGAGTGCCACGGGAGAGGAGGTTCTGACAACTCAAGAAATGCATTTTCGTGAGTGTGTTTCATGAGGTAGTGGAGACACGACAAATTCTCGCCATTTTCGTGAGTAGATACTGACAGCTCAAGAACCCGAATTCCAGACCTGGCGTCTAGAGTAAGTGGAGCTGTGCCGCACTCAAGAAATGGCCGATTTCTAGAGTACTGGAGCGAGACCCTTTGGCTTCGCTCCACTAGCTCTCGAAATGGACTCACAAAATTCCCTTTGTGAGCTGTCAGAGAAATGTGACAAACCATTTTCTGTAGCACGCGACTTTCTGCGCGACTGCAATGAGGGGTCCTAAGCTGGGAAGGTGGGGCCAATTACGGGAGATCGGGATCGGTGGGAAATTGCATCGGTACCCTCGCTTCTTCGTCTTTTTGCGTCAATTCTTTTCGGATAGCTGAGTTCGGAGCTGGGTGTGTCCCGGAACGGGTGATTGATTGGTCGGTTGCATGGATGGCGCGCCGCCGAGTGCGTGAATAATAAATGTTGACGTCGTTTCTTTTGTTTCGGTTTCGGAACCTTTAGGCGCGGACATCGCGTGGGAATTTTTGCTTCGTTCTTTTTGAAATTTCCTTTCTGAATTCTTCTTCGAATTCTTTTTCGAATCTTGTCGAGCCCCGTTGGCTCTCGGAATTTCGGACTTTCTTTCCGGAACTTGTGCTTTTTGCTTTTTCGCATTAGATAGGAATTTAGGAATTTTGTAATTAGGACTTTCTTTTGCCGCGCGGCGCCTTTTGCTTACGCGCTTCTTTATGCGGCTGCAACGAAATTCTGATTAGTCGGCGCCTTTAATCGGGTGTGTAACTTTAATTTTGGGCTGGCACCATTGTAACTGTATCCTTCTTCTTGTGCTTCATTTTTCCCGCCCCTCTTCTCTTTCTTTTGCTGCGTTTTTGGTGATCACGGCCTGCATGATCGGATCGATGCGTGGAGAGCGGCTACGTCCCCCACGCCGCGTTCTGGCCATGCAGACGTAGGCAATCCTTCCCCTACTCTCCTTCTAAGTCTTTGTAATTCTGTGTTCCTCGCGCATGCATGCACGCTATAAATTTCGGCTGCGTGATTAGTTAGCTCTCTTAACCAGCTGTTGGAAGCTTGAGGTTGCACGATCAGAGAGGGTCGGTGCACGAGCGAAGTAAGAGGTGAGTAGAGCAGGAGTCGGGCGACCCGACGAGCTGGTACCAAACGCGCGGGGTTGACGCGGGCCACGACGGACTGTGGGCGCGGGCGAACCTGACGGGTGCGGGAGGACTAAGCGGGGTGACGGCTTCATGGGTTGGTGCGTGACGACGGACTGTCCGCATCGGGGAAGGAGAGAGAGGAAGAGGGAGTTGAGGTTGATGGACGCGGATTTGCTATTTCTTTTGTCTTTTCTCCCTCCTGTCTCGTGTATATAAATTTTGATTTTGGCTCAGGGTGATTTGTCCGTTTTCTGTTTTTCGAAATCTGGACTTGGGTTTTTGCTCACACCTGTCTTTGCGATTTCCATCTCAGATGCACTRTGTGTGTTGCTGAATGAATGAATGTATGGATGTCATGTTTGGTTATTCGATTTCCTATCGGATCCATGCCTTTGCCTTTGTTTACTGCATTTGATGCACTCGTGAGTAGGATAGGAATTTTGCGCATTCAGTAATCCTGTTCTCGTTTTTACTCGTCTTTTGATTAAGCTGCTGTGGGTGTGGCATCTTGCATGCTCGAAAATTACGGAGTGATTAGACAATTGGATGTCTGATTGGGTACGGCCATCCGGGGTCTGCGACGGAGTAATCATCCCAGGCGAACACGCGTAAGCACGACTCGATTCGCACAAGCCTGCACGTGCTTGCACGCGGTCATCGCCATCGACACCGACCCGCCTTTAGGCATCTCATAGCTATGTGATGACATAATGACACGCTCAGAGAGCTCGGAGTCGTTGTTGTACGACCCGGACTACTTCACCCCTCGGATAGACGAAATCCTCCGACAGAGATACCCTCGCCTAACCAAGAACCGACAGTGTCCTAGGGAGTTTCATTGCGCCACCACTAGCGACCCCCGGTGTTCTGACTTCCCCACTCAGGACCACACCTACTACTTCACCCACTCCGGCTTTGTCGTTATCTCCACCAACTTCCCTCCCTTCCGCTTTCTTCTCCCGTGGAAGGCCATAGCCCCCTACTGGCCCAGTACACCCTGCGGAAATTGCCGACGACGTGGTGATCAGAGGACCCCGGAATTCCGGAGGCCTAACCCAAACGCGCGACGACCGGTGCCACGTGGCAACTTCCGACGGCCTGACTCATCGAAACCCCACCCACCCCGAAGGGACCTTCCCGCCAACCGCCGTCCTCGGAACCAATGGCTCGCCCGACCTTGAGTGACCCGTGCATGCCATCTGCCTTATGACCAGAGGCGATCCGCCCTCTCCGCCAAATTGCACTCGTGCCCCCAAAAAACTCTGCCACAAGAGATCTCAGTTCTGACCTGGGACTCCACCCCCACTTTCCAAAAATCCTTGGCACACCCCTTTTCGCACTTCCAGGCCCACATCCTACTCCGATCAGGAAGTCGCGCTGGGCGTGAGGTTGGGCGTCACAACCTGGCGTCTAGAGTAAGTGGAGCCGTGCCGCGCTCAAGAAATGGTCGGTTTCTAGAGTAGTGGAGTGAGACCCTTTGGCTTCGCTCCACTAGCTCTCGAAATGGACTCACGAAATTCCCTTTGTGAGCTGTCATAGAAAACTAAAGACGGGCACTTTTGAATCGTCGAGAGTCACCAGCCTGCAACGAGTGCACATTGATCACCGAAGCTGCTCTTTTTCTACTGAGGTCCGCCGTGCTCTCAGAAGCCGCATCGTTTTTCGAGTGTGGGTCTCAAGTAGTGGCCGACAGACTGGGCTGGCCTTGTCAGGTAGCACTCTGGAACACACTCCTGAGAATCATGAGTGCTTCTAGAGTCCCACCTTCTAGAGTTTGTGGAGACAAGGCGGAAACTTCTAGAGTTCAGAGGTCTAGACCGACTTTCAAAAATTTTCGAGAGCCTAGAGTAGTGGAGCAAGACCCCAAATCTATCGCATTTGTGATGTAAATCTTCCCTTCTGAGCATATATCTACTGCAGGGCTCTGCCCCACATGCCACAGGTGAGCAAGCCAGCCAGTTTTTATGGGAAAAGTTTGCAAAATACCCCTGAAAGTTACCACTAGAAGATGTGGGTAGAGTGGAATCTCTCTCTGGAATTTCAAATGTTTGTGAAATAACCCTCTGGTGGATATAAATCTTTGGAATCTACCCTGGGAGGGAGCTGTGCAAGGCCGCATTCTGCCCCTGACAGGGCTATAGCACATACTGGCCAACCCCCTGGCAGGTTTATAATGCAAAGCCGTAAATCCAAAAGGGCACCTCACAGACTTCCGCAGTTTCAGAGGGTATTCAGCGCTACGCACATCTTTTAGGGGTACTGTAGCGTATACTTGAACCTTCAGGTGTATTTCGCAAACTTTCCCATATGTCTTTTGCAGTGGGCCCGCGCCTGCCTTTTTTGGGGCCTTGTGAGCCCAAAGAAGATGAAGAATACCCGAAAGGTTTGGTCCGCTCGTCGTCGACTACTGGCTCCGATTTGTTGACGTGTCTGCTGGCTGGCTTCCGTCTGTTGATGTCATTGCGCTCGAAATCGCTCTTCCCCATCTCTTGTCCCCCCCCCCCCCACACACACACAAGGACAACTAAAAAACTGTCTAATAATTATAAAATTGCTTTAATATGTTGGACATCTCAAATTGCTCTCGTTGTCTGCAATAGGACAAAGATTGCTTTGATTCTGAATCTATTCACCTGGGTGGAATTGGGGCTGTTGTGGGGAAAATCTAAAACACACACACACACACACACACACACACACACACACACACACACACACACACACACTCATGCAGACAAGCACAGACACGATTGGTGGGAGAAGTCGTGTTTGCTGAGACTGCAGTTTGATGAGGTGGGTGGGGTACGACAAGCACGATGATTGGAGGTGAGTTCTCGACGTATGCATAAGTGCATGCGCTTTTCTTTGCGCGGATCGTATGCCTGTATGTGTGTGCTTTGTTTTTGCGCGCATCTCTTTGTGTGTGCATGTGTGTGTGTGTGTGTGTGTGTGTGTGTGTGTGTGTGTGAGAGAGAGAGAGAGAGAGAGAGAGAGAGAGAGAGAGAGAGAGAGA